CTTTTAGAGGCACATCATCCAATGCAGTTTTTGACACTGATTCCAAATATCATCTTATTTTTGTTCTTAAGTGAAGTTTTGATTATTAAAATCTCAAAAAGTCGCGGTTGGACTGCCATCTTGTTTTCAAGTTTTGCAACTTTTGCACTACTTTTAAAATAAAGTTTTTGCGCTCAGTTTGTGGAAAGTTGAATTGAAGAAAAAAAACCAAGATCTCAGCATATACAGATGTTTTGAAAGTCGAACCTTAAAATTGCATGCAATTGAAACGAGAAGAATGACGTTGAACAGATAGTAGGAGAAAGTCATACTACTACAGTTTCAGCGTTTTTAAAAAATATTTAAATCCGGTCACTTTTCTGAGAATTAGCAAGTTTTTGAACTTTATTTTTAGAGTTATCTGTGTCAATGAAGAAGAGACGAAGTTACCGATCACAATTCGAGAAGTCAAGCACCGAACGCCGTGCTTTTAAGTGTGTCTTAAAACTACTGTCGAAAATTATTAAACCATATTTTTTTTAATATAAACTTTATTGACAAGAATAGGTGAAATAATAAACACAATCGAGCCATATTCTTTGACTGGTCTTACATATGTCAAGTACAGATGTTGTTTTAATTTGAGTGAAGTATATCGAAACATTCTATTAATAACGCTTAACATTTTATAATGTTGTAAAGCTGTTCTGTCTAGAGTTCGCAACTAGACATGCACCAATTCTTCTTCGAATATTATTGAAAAAACATTTCTAGTGCTAAGACTATTTGTTTTAAATATTTTTTTGCATACATAGGATTGTTCTGTAGGTTTTTCTCTACAAAATGAGGTATAATGAAGTTTCTAGTTGCATTTGAGAAGGTGGAAACAAGAAAATATTAAACTAATTCCCCCCAATTCCAATTTCAAATCCACTTTTCAAAAAATAGTCTACAACGTTTAATCTAATGTTAACGCAAAATTTCCAAATAGCCTGTTTTGTAGAGAAAAGTCGACATTATAATCCTACATTGTGGATAAAAAATTAGAAACAAATGATTTGATTAGAGAGGTATAACTATTTTCGCTGATGCATCAAAAATTACATGCCTATACTCAATCAAACGTTATAGTAAAATCAATGGAGACGCTCACAAACTTGACATTCTCATCCATAAGATGAGAAAATCGAAGGTACTATAAGTCAGGATGTCTACTGTTGAAGTTATGAGATTTATTCCGTACCTTTTCAAAATGTTAAAATACGCAATCACGTTTTCCATGACTTTCATAGAGAGTAAATGGAGTCATTTACATACTTTCGGTAATAATACACGATCAAACATTGGAATTTCTCCAATGTTTAGATCATGTAATACTGAGCGTATTTGTGTTTTTGGATAACTTCAGAGTACTTCCGACTTGGTTCATAGACAATAGAAGAAGCCTTTGTGGGCAAACAACGGGGAACTTGTTCAAGTATTATCTACAGAACTATTAATGAAACTAATTTTTTTCTCCTCTGTTAACATCATCACCTCTAAATGCCGGTGTTTTGTCAATATAATACAAGGTACTGTCATAACTGTGGATTCAAACTAAGTAGTACTAATACAAAGATCTTTAGAAATGAATGGTAACATTGTTCAAAGCGAGAAAAACGTGCAGACAATCATTTTGATTTTAGATTCAAATAGTCATATCTACAGTAAATGTATTGCCACTTAATGGTCATCAACTTTTGATTGAATCGACATCTGTAATAACGATACTTTCATTATCATTAATAAAATCACAACGATTATAATATTCTAAAAGAAGAGAATGATGAAGTGTTACATACGACAAAGTACTTATTTACCATTTTCATATTCTCTATTGATTGAAACAAAAAATAAACACAGTAAACATGAAATAAGTCCTAAGACAGTAATACCACCAGCAACAGCAATCAAGACTATTCCCAATGGATATTCAGTAGTATCAAATATGTTATAATTTGGTATTAAACTAGATACTGACGTCTTTTTAAAATTAAACTAACCACAAATAATTAGAATAACTGGATCAATAAAAAAATTGAGAATGAGAGCGCCTGAAGAATCGCGTTGCCGTGTTTCGACCATTCACTATTTCGTTTCTGAAGAGGCACACTGCTAATGGGAGAATTAAAGCCGTTTTGGTGTGTGAGTTATTCTCATTTAACACTAGAACGCCCGGAAATTTTTATGACCTAGAACGCCCAAAGCGGTCATTTTGACCGTTACTGTTTTTTTTTTAAATTTTATACTTAAAAAGTGGTTCTGAATTCAAAAATGAATTAAAAATTCTGCAAAATATAATTTTTGTGGGACAAATTAAAAGTTATGACATAATTTATTTTTAAATAAATCGTATGCAGTTTGTTTTATTAGGGATAAAAATCACAAAACGGTCAAAACCATGGGCGTTCTAGTGTTAAATGAACATTGATTAATTCAAGAAAATTGATATTCTTATGCTATAAATCTGATAAAAAAACTTCTCTTTTACATCTACAACAGCAGACATCAAAAACTGTGCTAAAAGCTCTGCTGAATCATTGATCCGGTCGAAATAGAAATAGAAATTTGTTCTTTATGTATACAGGCATTGCGATCGCTTTTTCGTCAAAGATCATAAAACCAAAGTGTTTTTTCTATTAAAAAAACAGAAAGCCTAAACAATCTAAAAACCAGTGTATAGAGAGAGCAAAAATGGGAGACTATATTTTCATTGATATTAAATATCATTGTCGCTAGAACTCTTACCTTTATCATCAATTTTTAGTTTTTTTCTTCTCGATATCAACTGTTCATCTTCACTTGAAATTCTTTCCTTTTTTTGAGTCTTCTTGTAACTAGATATCAACAATATGAAAGTAACAGCTGTCATTAGAATGCAAAAACAAATGTTGGGATCGGGACAGGATGGGAACAAAAAAGTAAGTCTTGCAGTGCTTTAAATTTTACATGATAGTGAGCAATTTATTACATATTTTGCAATACTTCAGACAAAAAAAAACATTTTAATTTTTTCTGATATATGGGAAAATATGATATTAAGCAAATGATATTCATAGCATAAAAAATTTTCAAGTGAAGTTTTTAGATTAAAAAATTTATATATGATAAGACTGGCTTTACTTGCTATTATAAACCATTCAATATGATAGAAATGAATATTACTAAGCATTCAACTACAATTGTCATATCCGAATTGTTCAATTCTTTCGGTAATGATCGATTCGATTTACACTAAAAAGTGTTTATAAGCTGATGATTTAAAAAATGATATGCAGACTATGAAGAACAAAGACAACAAATGTAATTTTAATAATAGAGAAAAAAACGAAAGCGATCAGAAATAAAATACAGAAATCATAATTTAGCTCAGCTTTTTGCTTGATCAAAAAAACAAAAGTGTACTGATTGGCTACTGACGGTTCTTGATTATGTATTCTGTCAGCTGCTTTCCTTTGCTTTCTAAAACAATGGATATATATTAAACTGGAAAAATTATTGAAAACCATCGTCAGCTTTTAAAATTCTCATCGTTGTTGATTGATCAAAAAACCTTGTCATATTTTAATATAAAACACTTTGAATACACAGTCAGTTTGTTTCCATTTAAACTGTAGACATCAAACAGAACAATAAGTGTCAGAATGCTGAAGAAGGTTCTCTTCGTTATTGCTTTAACATTATCGATTACATTTGCAAGTGGTACAAAACACATAACATACAATCAAAATGCTATTCAACGTCAAAACAAAAATGTTGGACTTGATTTGTGTCCAACTTGTATTCGATTTGCAGAAGAATCAATTAATGTTTTGTTAAATTTAATTTTGGACACTGGTATCATTGGTTCATGTGGTACATTATGTCAAGCTCTTGCGACTAGAACTGGTTCTCAAATACTAGGAACAGTATGTGATTTAATCTGTGATATTATTGGTATTGATGAATTTATTCACATTTTGGAAAAAGCTGATTTAGATCCAATTTGGTATTGTGAAATGGCCACAATGTGTCCAGGTAAGTTCAATAAAAAAATTAACTATGTATAATGAATCATTTATTTTACTATTTTTTGTAGTTAATGATCATGGTGATGCAAAATTCTCCACATTCAACATTATGCCAGCAACCGGAAGACAAGGAACAACATTCACCATTGATTTTTCATACAAAACAGTCAATGGAACAGGCACCGGAGAACTCGAAATTGATATTGACACTCCAGACAAAATACCATTAGGAACAGCATTCTTATGGGAAGCAAAGAAACCCGGAACATATTCGGAAAAAATCACTGTCAAAGCCCAACCAGATCCACAGTGTGACCCAACACAAGGTAACTAAAAAATTCAATTTTATTATTTTTGAATTCTGTATAGGTTAGAAGACGCTATTCTTGCTTTCTTTTTTCTTCTAGGACCATGTGAACAATGGTTACCAGGTACTTACAATGTAACTGTTTACCTTTGCAATGGTGAATGTGGTTCAAAACATCCACATAGTTCAATCTACGATGTTGCCAAAGGTTCATTTATGCTTACCAGATAAATTTGGGTACAGTAAAGTTAGAAAGAATATCGTTTTTAAAAAAGTAATTCAAGCTTAGTTTGGCTAGTTTTGTGAACGTTAATATGTTTTCATAAATAAAATAACTTGTTTCAAACAGCGGTGATTTAGACTGTTCGAATAACACTAAGATATTTTTTAATATAGCCTTCAAACATCAAATTTTCATTTTGTATAATATGGAAATGATTTAAATAGCTTCCCTCAAATATGACACTTTACTGCTATTCTGGATATATGGGAAGACTAGAAATATTCAGTTAAAAGTCATAATGAATGATAAAAGCTAAATTCAAACACAATTTTCTCTTACAACAACTTTGATATTTGTTGTAGTATCACTAGCGAACTTTTTAGATAGTCGTAAAAACTCAGTGATCAATTTTAATAGTCTTTGTTGGAAATACTTGTTTTGTTTTATTTTGAAAAAATGTATGTCGATAAACCTTTTGATCTGGTTAGATAAAAAATGTATGAAATAAGATGATTTTCTTCCTAAATGATCAAAGGTCATTCCACATAACGCTGTTACCGGTTGGTACTAGTAAAATCAAATTCAAAATTATCTTTAATCAGTCGAACAGATAATGATATTCACTACTGTCGCCTTCGAGTCGGATTTTCTCAACTGAAGAGTGACTTATTCGATAAATGTCTCGTGCATAATCCATCTTGTGAATGTAATAATCTAATAAAAGAGACTGTTTACCATTTTTTTTGTTGAGTATCCCAATTACAATAAGAGAAGAAAAAATCTAATGACACAGTTCTCTAACAGGATTCCATATGTTAAATCGGATCTGGAATCAATTCTATTACGAGTACTGTTTGACAACGTAACAGTTGGAATTATTGTCGAGTTAGTCATAAACTATATTGGTGATACAGGAAGATTCTCTACTTTTGTCTGATTCATTTTTGTCGCCTTACACGTCTGCGGCACCAACACATCACACAACTATCACATTTTATACTTACTTATATACTTATTCATAATATTTTCTTTTTCTCGCTTCTCTCATTTTTCCTCTTGTACTATTTAGTATGGGTTAGCGAATCTGCAACAGTCAAGTGTTTGTTTTCTTTTTTTTACGGTGACCACATGTATATGGATCCTCGATCCACTTTTGTGGCTTATATTTTTTGGATTTTCTACTCTTACATTAATAAACGAGATTAAAACAAAACGAATTTTAATTTTTAGCTCACTGTATTTTAATCACAATATTTCCTTCAAATATTGTAACATAAACAATAATAGCAAAAACAGTGACATACTCACGTTCCGGTAGCAAAGTTACGTTGCATGGTCCTAGAGTTTGTCAGGAAATTTGTCAGAAAAAAATTATAAATTATTCGCAAATCACTCCGCCATGCTGTAGTTTACAGAGAATTTGACTAATACAAACAACAGCAACTTATCAACAGAATTTAGCATACGGCTTGTCCACATAACGGTACACTTCGCTGATCAAGTTTTTGAAAAGTTTTGAAAAAAAACCTGGTTTTGAACTTTTCTGAAACTGCATTTTTAATGTTTTAACCAAAAAAACTTTATAATAAATTTCTAAAAATATGCTTCTGGAGAGAACTGAATTCTCTACAAAATGGCGTATTTGTTTTTGAGTTTACTTGCTATGTACAATTTGTACATAGTTGTACAATTTTCGACTTACTGCCCAGTTTTTGAGTTCTTATTTTGATACAGCAACTTGATTTTTACGCAGATCGATCAAATATACAAAGAACACGGGAAGCTGTGAAAATCAAAACTTTACCATTGTGTCAAGTGCCTGAAATATGCTTGACAAAAAAGTGCTAACGCCGTGACGTTTTTATTTTGCATCTTTCTCCCTAGCGAAAAGCGCAAGAAGAAATTTCTTTTTACCACCGGATAGCCCCGTCAATTACAATTTTGCTCTAGAAGTTTCCTTTTCACATAGGAGGCAGTGCACGATAGAGACGAACGAAGTCGCTCAATGAACTGTCACAGATTTTTCTCAAATTATCAGCGCAGACAGAGAAATGTGTCCTGAACATTTTTGTCTCTTGACATTTTTTTCCAAAATG